GAGAGGGAAGGACAATCGGCTTTGTGGAAGCTGGAGGAATGGTGTGCTCGTCATTCAAGAGACGAAGTTCTTCGCATGAATCTAGATGCGATGCAAGGTCAAGGCTGTTGATTTTATCCATTGTATCCAGTGTCAAGTGAGTCGAGGATCCCAGACAGTTCGTATCGTTGATTGCATCGTAGTAGCCATGGATCATGACTCGACGACATGAATGCCATTTCACTAGGTCCTTCACTTGTTGCGGCGTTGCTCCATCTGGAGTGAGGATGTGAATGCCGATAGATTTTGGACGACTTATTAGACAAGGGATCCTAGGTACTTTTCTCCTAATGACAAATTGAATAGTAAAGTTCTTCCCGTAATCTTCGTCCCACGGATGGTTGTCACACGAATACCCAGAAAGGGAATCACAATCCACTTCTACGTATACTCTGAGTGAGGAGCCCCGTGCATGCCGTTGATAATGCTTGAATGTCTTCACTCCACCTTTAGTCCATTCCCAGTCGAAGTAAGTTACAATGTCGCGCCATAGGCTAGGGTTTTGGGTTGCTACACGGTTCCACGATCGACATACATGCGACAATATAAGTGCAGTATGAGGTAGATATGTAGTCAGCCCTGTCAGGTAGTCGTCGACATCTTGAGAGATTCGATACTGGAAGATTTGAAGTAATAGCTCTGATGGAAGTTTTATAGAGCGGCAATAAGTGTTCACAATGCGGGATAAGTGCATCTCTAGCATTGCAATGAACCCGTTGCGAGTGGTTATGACGTCCTTTTTGACCTCGAGTATCAGTCGGCGAAATTCGAGTTCCCTCTCAGCTTCCTCTATTGTGGAAGGAACGTGTCGATTTTCCTCGTCCGAAGAGTAATCAAGTGGCGTTACGCTTCCATCGGATGTTGCCGGTGATCGTTCTTGAGTCGAGTCTGATGAGGAAATTTGCCCCTCTTTTTGTGACGAGGTGAAAATGTAAGAGTTCTGTGACCCTTCTTCCTTGTATGCGATCTTCAATTCTTCTTTCAGCTTTTCTATTATGCTGATCTTCCACTTCTTATCTTGTTCGGATTGGTAATTTCGGTCTTTCAGCGCTTCAATCTCCTTCTGGACATCACTAGCGGCCGATAGAAGGAGATGCTTCTCCCAATAACTCGGTTTGATATTTGATTGGCTTTATAGGGGTAGGTGATTATTAGCACATACTACAGCCAAGGCATTTTAGGAACTCACGCGTATTTCTCCATAATGGATAGGCTCTGGCAGACTTTTAATTTGTGTATTACGCGTTTTGAGGGTGCTTGTTCGGACAAAACAGTTGTGGCAAGGTCGAAGAATGGTCTAACCTTTGTCATGTGTGTCTCACCTTGACAAGCCCCTCTCGCCCTCCATGGGACTTCGCCACACGTAGAGCATACACCAAATAACCGCGTTTATAATAGAAACTACCTCGAAATCGAAAGCTTTATTTTAACGGAAAAGTAAGGAAGCAAAGTACAGATTTCGTCCTACAGTAGAGCTCTTATATTGATACCGTAACTCGGCCGACTACTTTAGATAATCGCTCGCGGTCTCTTTCCGTTATTCCAGTACAGTCGATAAAGTGCATCTCTTCGATAGTTGCACCACTCCCAATGCCCTTCGTCACAAGGGACGGTAGGTGTTCATGGAGAGGCAATACGTCGACGAACCCCGAGGAAAATGTAATGGTTCTAAACTTGGTTGAGCGCCGGAGTATTCCGATTGCAAAGGCAGAGGCCGAGTTCTTTTTTGGAAAGTGGCTCATTACTTGAGACATGGGGTAGAGCTGCAGTTCAGTGGCATTCGCGATTAACGAGGACAACGAATCCAGCTGTTCTTCAGACAAGTGGATATTAAAAAGGCCGGGAGCCGAGTAGAAGATCGCGGTCTGCAAAGCAGGGAGCTGGAGTATACGTGCGGTTTGGAGATGTATAAGAGAAATCCCTAAGACTTTGAGAGAGGGGAGAGTGATGGCCGCATGAGGACCGGGAGAGATATTTTCCTCACGATTCATGAGATGAAGCTCCTCAAACGAATTAGGGGACGATACGAGGTGGATACTATTCAATCCGCCCGATGTCTCCAGTGTCAAATGTGTTAGAGGGCCCAGTGCCTCCACATGCCAGTCATTATTGAAGTATCCATGAATCGTGACTCGATGACATGAATGCCATTCCACCAGTTCCATAACTTGATATGCTCCCAGTCCATAGGGGTGAAGGTTATGAACGCTTAAAGATTCTGGATTCTTCTTCAGATAAGGAAGCCAGGACACTCCGTCCACGAATTGTTTGACCCTAAAGTGAATCTTAAAGTCATCCCCGTAATAGTCGAACGTGGGATGGTCGCTATCTGGGAACCCATAAGCAAATTCGGGCTCCACCTCTACGAATAAGCTGAGCGAAGTGCGCTGTGCATTCGACGAATAGTGCTTGAATAGCTCAACCTTCCTATCAGTCCATTTCCGGTGAGGATAGACTACAGTATCGCGCCATAGAATAGAATTGTTTGTCGCTACGAGCCTCCATGACCGACAAACGTGAGACAACTTGAGCGTGGTATGCGGCAGATACTTGGTCATCCCTTCCAAGTACTGGTCCACGTCTTGCGCGATTCGATGTTGAAATATTTCGAGTAATAATTCTGGTAGGAGCCTTATAGAGGGGCAGAACCTGTCCACAAGACGGAACAATTGGGCCCTTAGCCTTGTGATAAGCTCGTTGCAAGCTTTCGTGGTCTCCTGCATCACGTCAAGCGCTAGTTGGTGGGACTCGATCTTGTTCTGAATCACTTTTATCTCGGGAGATAACTCGCCCGAGTGCTTGGTCTCTTTATTCGAAAGTAACTCGAATGGTGCCACAGGTTCGTCTGCTAATGATAGCGGTTGTGCTCGAGTTGGGGTCGATGAGGAAGGGGAAATTTCGTTGCTTGGTTGTGACGAGAACTCGATCGAGGAAAGATCCTTGGACTCTCCGAGCTTATAAGCAGCTTCCAGCTCCCTTTCGAGTTTTTCAATTATGCTACTAGGAGGCGCTTTGTCTCGTTCTGCTTGGGCATTATACTGGTGCAGCACCCGGATCTCCCTCTGGACTTTTTCAGCCGTTGATAAAAGTATAAATTCCTCATATCGCTGCATTGTGATATCTGTTTGACTTTGTACGAGAAGATCGTCGTCAGCACTGATTTCACCCGCGGGATTGTTGAGACTCACGCGTTCTTCTCAATAATAGTTCCGCTATGAAAGTATTATAGTTCTTTCGAGATGCGTCGAAGGGTTTAGCGTATAATAAAGACGTGGCAAGAGTGAAGAGAGGCAAAGGAAGAGCGTTAATGATCGTCTCGTGCCCGAGCTATAATTGCAACTCCGACCTAACTTTTTGCCATACTAAAAATATCGAGATTCACACTTGAGATAGAAACGAAAATAGATTAAAAATGTTCGGATTACAGTGTGGTTTAATGTACACAATGCGTTTGGTATAGGACATTAGAAATCGTACATGGGCTACTCTCGAGTCCATCGATTTGTCGTAAGAAATTTTAATCCCTACCCACTATGTCAGTCTTAGGCTAAGTTCCTATACACGATACTCACAATAGCGAGAGAGTTACATCGCCATGAACTCTTGCACGGATCTGGACGTCAACGTCGAGGTTGAGGTCGAGGCGGAGCTTTAGAGTATCCTTCTTGCCTTCGTCAGGATCCTTTTGCTTTTGCATGTTTCGCCCGCCTCGGCTTCGCGCTAATGCTTCCTCCTTGTAATCGAAAATGTCCAAGTTGTCGGGGAAAAGCATCCCGTCGTTTCTCTTGATACCGTGCTCTCGGGTATACTCGTTATCGGGGAACATGTCTAGGTTATCGGGGAACAACATGCCGCTGTTCCTTCGAATACGGCCGCGCCTACGGTTATCATCGAGTTGCTGTGGTTGTGGCTCCCTCTCGACGGTGGGTGAGCCAGCTTGCGACGTGCTGGGCGAGTTCTTTTGGGAGGATTGTTGGGACATTTTTTCGGGAGCCAGTGGAAGAGGTGTAGATAATTGGGGTTCGGGAGTGGTTGCGAAATACACCCTTTTTAAAGTGATAGAGGAGGGTGTGGAGAGGATATGATGTAAGTATGACGGGCTGTCGGAGGTGGGCTCGAGCGTTGGAGCATTCTTTAATTATGCTATGACTCAGGACCAGACCGGTCGCATGGATCCGAGACTATCCGCCGTGGCGCCACTACGCCACCCAACTTTGGCTAGATCTGTTGGCCCATAACCTCTACTGATCCCCCGGGAGCACGATAATTTGAACTAGAGCAAAATATACGGTCTATAAACTCGTACAGAGTTGCTCTTTCCGTGAAAATGGGCCTTCTGGAGGTGGGAGACACTCTGACGAAGTTGCTAGAACCCCAACGACGGTGATGCAGGCTCCAACCAGCATCATCTTCCTTCGGTAACATTGAATAATGCACCCGTACCGTCATTTGGGAGCCACCTTTGAATGGGAATTCAGGATCCAACTACGTATGCGCGACGCCACTTACCGTAATAGGCAACACCGGCCGCCGAACCTCGCCATCGTATGGAACACGTCTGGACCAAAACGGGCATTCCATACACATAAATCATACTAATAAAACTAGCAATACATTTGATTACTAGCACCTCGCATAAAAGACTCAAGGAGTCTTCGCGTAAAAGAAATCTAAAAAAGACTCTTGAACCAACGCACTATCTTTTGGCCTCCCTCGACGAGGGCATCAGATGCCTTTTTAATAAAGCCCTTGTACGAATCTGTTACGCATGGCTCCTCTGATCTATACTCCTGAGGTTCTTCGGCCTCCGAGTCTTCGTCCTTTTCATCCTGGATTTCATCGACTTTGCCGGTGTCATTCCTCCCAAAGAAAGATTTAAAAGCCTCCTTAAGTGACCTCCAGCCTTTCTTTACTATCCCCATCGACCAATCGAAGGCAGATTCGATCGTCTTCTTCATAGCAATGGACGGCAAGAATAGACTGGCTATGAAGAGCGCACCAAGAAGAGATATTACCGCGAGAGGAGTCCACCCTGCAGAGAGTAGGAACGGTATAACGATGTAAACGGCCAAAAGGGTGCCACCCAGGTACGAGGCCCACTGAACCCAAAACCACCAGTCCGTTTCTCTAGCTTCGGTGTAGTTATACAACTTCTCGTCGATGAAGCGGTTAATGTTGACGGCACCGTACGAAAAACTCAGGATCGCCCAGACACTCGGAGGTCCGACCTTGATATTGGTGACCATCCCGACCGCAGCTTTTCCCACTCCCAGCACTATATCGCACAAGAATAGAGATCAGCTTTCTAAGCGAAACCTCTTTACAGACGACGAACCTTGTGATAATAGGGCGCCATAGTCCCACATATCCAAAAAGAACGAAAAATCGTCGCCATAGCCATACATGATGAGGCAAAAGTTCAATGATGGAAAGAGTGGGTTTTAGCTTTGTGGATGGATAAAATGGTGGGTTAATATAGGCCAGAGTCAAGTCTGATTGAGCTGGCAGGCTCATGCGTTGAGTCTGACCACCGTAAAGGGGCTCATTCTGGGCAGCGATGGGTGATACATTCGTCGGCGGGTTCACTCTTAATCTGACCAATTGAGTGCTGGAAAATGCATAGGAACATATTAGAAACATGATGCTCTCCAACTTGCCTGATTTTCTGGTCGACGCTGTCAGTATGCATGTCACTGAGCAGAAGCTGAGGTAAACGACATTTAATATGCTATGCCCACGAAAGGAAAAATAGCAATACTGTATCCATACACATTCAAGACAAGTCTAATCATCGTAATATTGGATGATTTTCCAGAGAAATTACAGGCTAGACGAGTTCCTATCGAGCTGGACACGATCTCGCCTATAATAACTTCATTTCCAACACAATACAATAGGTTTCCTGTCACAGAAACAGTATGGTTCTTGGCCGGGCCAATCAAAATCTCGCCTGGTGACAAATATCGACACTTGCTCCCTACCTCATCCAACGCCTCGTGGAAATGGGCGCAAGGCCGACATCCCAGGAACGGCGGATTTCTATATGGCTATCTCAATGCAAAGATAATAGTTCACCTGTTCAGGCGGACATTCGGCCAATCCTACAGGGAAGAGAATTCCGTCAAGGCAGTTGAGATCTCCGCAGCGCGTACTTTACATACAGGGAACGGTAAAATCGAATCAAAAACTGATCTCGGGGTCTATAGTCGACAATGCAAAGCTGTGGTTCGTTGGCCATACAACATAAAGTCTTGGCGGCCCGCCTTTGGAGGCATCAAGGTTCCATCACAACTTGTCCTTAATATTCGGAGCTCCACATTCTAAAAATAAACCCACAAGGATCAACACTATGGCTATCCAATCCATCAGCAGATCGTCACCGTGCCGGAAAACCGCGGTCCGCTGGCATAACTACCCGACTCCCGCTCTGCCGAGCCCAAATTTCGGACTATTGGGTGCATCGCTGAATGGCTGAATCCGACAGGGATGACAATATGTGACACTAAAACCCATTAAAATACTCGGCAATGGTAGCTGCCACCGCACTATTTTTAGACCTCGCTCCTATTTCCCTTGGCAATACCCACAACGCCTCCCGGTCACTCGCAGAGGCGATATTTCGCTGAATATCTGTGCCTACGTATGAGCGGAATGCTTAAATAGTCCGCAGTCCAGCTATGTTGTTCTGCATTCTCCACTTTTCCACCTTCCTCTAGCTATGCTTTCCACTCCTATCGTCGCTCTTGCTTTTGTCCTGGCCTCTGGGTTTACCTATGCCCAATCCCCTCTTTACGGACAATGTGGTGGCCTCAACTGGACCGGCCCAACGACATGGTCAGTGATCATTTCTCTGCTCCCGAGTTGGTCTTGACGGGATTCTACTTAGTGTCTCTGGAGCCACCTGCGTCTATTCCGTACGTCGACCATTACATAGAAAGGAGAGGAATAGTAACTCGTCACTTGTAGAATGACTGGTATTCCCAATGTGTTCCATCCACTGGAGCTGCAACCTCTTCTACCAAAACGACGTCGACCAAGACTTCTAGCACGAAGACTTCTAGCACGTCAACCAAGACATCTTCGACCAAGACCACAACTACCAAGACTTCTACCACCAAAACTTCCACCACCTCGACTGGCCCTTCTCCCACCGGCATCACCACGACACTGCCAGCATCTTCTGTATGTTCAAATTTTCTTTTTTATTCAGCATTCTAACTGGATCCAAGGGTTATGTTTCACTCCCAACTGCAAGCGTCATCAGCAGCTCTTTCGATGGCAAGATGGTCAAGTATGACCGCAAGGGTAGCAGTATGTATTCCAGACGATTACCCGATAACCAGAATCTAATATTCTGATGATAGGCGGTTCTTGCGCTGAGCAAGAGGAGGAGGGTGAAGATGCCGCCGTCTTCATTCTCGAAGCTGGAGCTAAACTTTCCAACGTGATCATCGGCGCCGACCAAGCCGAGGGTATCCACTGCCGTGGAACCTGCACACTCACCAACGTCTGGTGGGAGGATGTTTGCGAAGGTGAGAAATACACGCGCGTACTCTGAAATCTTTCTCACATTAAATATTCAGATGCTGCTACGGTATGTCAAGGTTGTATAGATGAGGATCCCTCGCTCACAAAATCAACTAGTTCTTGCAAACTGGTGCTAGCGACGTCTCATACGTCATCGGTGGTGGTGCCTTCCACGCTTCGGACAAGATCTGTAAGAACGGATTTTCCCCTAATCCTATTCTCGCTTATACCACCTCTAGTCCAACACAACGGAGCTGGAACCGTCAAGATTTCCAACTTTTTCGCCAGCGACTTTGGCAAGCTCTACCGTGCTTGCGGTAACTGCTCAAAGAGCTACGAGCGCCACGTTACCGTCGACAATGTAAGCTCTCTACAAGACACCCACTCTGCGACTGACACTAGGACAATATAGGTGTGCTTGAAATCCGGAAAGGTCGGTGTCGGTATCAACACCAACTGGGGAGACACTGCCGTCCTCTCCAACATCAAGACCAGCGGCAAGCCCGACGCTGATGATGTCTGCTGCACATACAAGGGTGTCGCCAAGGGAAGCGAGCCTTCAGAAATCGGATGGTGAGTCTTGTGCATCTAGTTTCGCAACTTATAGATCACTGATTGTATCGTCCAGTGGCTCGAGCTACAGCGCATGCCAGTACAATGGATCCGTCGGCTCCTGCTAAGCTTCTGAAACACGGTATTAGAGATAGTGTATTTAGCCTGATATATATGAACTTGCGTCATACTATTCCCGCAGACAATGGTTTGCCACTGAGCCACAGCCACTGCATTGTCTACAACCTGACCTCATCTCCGCTAGTTCAAGACCACGGAAGCATCAGTAACACCCCCAGCCGACACTTATAGTTCAACAATATCGCCACAGTGATGCCTGAACAAGACGAACTCATCCTCAACTGTTGGGTGGCCGGTACTAGCCGCAAGCTCTTTTTTGAGGTTAGGTTGAACGCCAATGCGCGCATATCCGAACTTGAAAAAGAGATCTACAAGAGAGCCGAGATTTTCTTAAAGTCAACCGGCCTGTTCGGGCTATCCCTTCAGCGGGTAGGTTCACCGACCGAAACATCGTATGATAAGAGCTAATGTCAATAGGTTAGCGTAGAGTTTGATAGCTTTCTGCGAGGAAAATCCAACGATTTTAACCCCGAGGAATTCGCTCAATCCGTAGATTTGGTGGATTCCGCCACTCTGCTTTCGACACATTGGCAGTCTCAGCCACTATTGACGACGTTGCATGTTGTCTTGAAAACGACCACCAAGCCATTCTGGGAAGAAGAGTCGTTCCATGACTTGCAAGAACGTTTCCTGTGCAGCCCCAAACCTTTTCCCCGGAGTTCTTGGCACCAAGAATCCCCGGCCAAGAAATCATTAGAAAAGTTTAATGAGATCCTTCGCCCAGAGATTCATAGATTCCTCTCAAAGGTACATTCAACTTGGAGCCAAGCACCTGATATCGACAAAGAAAAGACTCTGCTACTCGATGATGATCTAAAACGACTCTTACCAAAACGAGATGAAGCGCCGGATCCCAAAGTGGCCGACTTTTTCCGAAACGGATATGAAAGGTAGGATCATCCTCGTCCAACTCTCATTATTGACCAAATTCCAGAGTTTTGTGCAATCCATCTGGCTACGAGCGGACCAAACTACTTTTTGAAATACTTTGTAAACACTGGGGTTACTATTTTCGAGTGACGCCGGGTCCTAGCGGCATTGGAGCCCCCGACATACAAAACCTCGTCAATACGCTACCACGCTCATTGTCCTGGAACGGTGATATCTTTCAGGGTGAAACCGGCGGTTTACGGTACCCTATCGCTAATAAGAGTTCAAGAAATGAAAGGATCCTCGAATCCGGGTTAAAGAAGCTAATGACGGCGCGCGACCTCGTCTTTGTCGAATTCCTCGACGTCTACAAGGAAGTGAATGGCGGGGAGGTGGACGAACGCGCCAAGTTTGACTGGCTGCTCTTTCAAATTCTTCCCAACGTACGTATCAATGGGATGGACCCATTCTCGGCACTCGTCGAATTCTTTCTTGACGACGTGGATTATGAGATGGTCGACCATCTCGATGCTAGCACACCGATTTTCAAGGACCTGCCCAATTTGAATAGCAGATACCCCAGGTTTCTATACGTCTTGGACGAGGCTCAAGATGCCGATGGTCGATACATGGGTGCCTTTTCTGATCCCGACGGCTATTTTCCAGAGCCGGTCCTTTCTGCGCTTGCTCGCTTCCTGACCAACGGGAATGGTATCGGAACCATCATAGCTGGTAGTGAAATCTCTGAAAAGACACTCAAGTATACGAGACGACCCAAGGTAGGGCTTCCGCCTTTCTGGTCTTGGGAGCGTCAAGGCGTGTAGGTGGTGGGGTTTGTTACCCGTT